ATTCTTATGTTTGATTCACTGTGCTGATAGTTGACATTTTGCACTGGGAACGTACAAGTTGTTGTAGGCTTTTAAAGTGGGGATGGTGCAAGAAGTGCTCTTCTTACTTACATGATGAAGAGAAAAGCTCCTGTTTGATTAGAATGCTTGTGCCCGGTTCATTTTATCCTCACAATTCCCAGATGAAAGTTAATATATAGATTGTAAAACTTACCTGAAATTTTATTTTATTGCATTGCAATCCCAAAGTTTTTACTCACAACTGTGCCTTAGTCTGTTTCGGTGTTTATCGTAATGGATGTGATACGTTTTTATTTCGTAATCTTTAAACAACCACATATCTTCAAAATCAAACATTTGTGAAAAGGTATTTTTGAATGCAGATGATCTAAATTGGCAGTTTTTTCTCTTTTCTTTAATTGTCCCTTGCAAACGACTGCAAGTTATCATTGAAATAGGTCATTTAATGCAACTTGAGATTTAGACGATGAAGCCTCAGATTTTGTCTTTATCTTTCTTCTGTGATGTGTTTTTTTTAACTATATAGATATATTATATATCTGACATCTTTTTTTCTTAATTTGTCTACTTTATGCAACCTGAAGGATTGTAAATAGCTTCAGTAGCAACTTAAATTCACCAAAGGTGGGTGTCTTGCAACAATGTGCTAAAGAATGTGTATTGAAAATTTTCTTTCCATTTTTCCCAGAGAGGATAATTATCGAAGAAATTTGTGAAAAATGTTTTATTTAATATATTAGGCTATATGAATATAAACATTCATATATTTTTATCAATATAAATATAAATTCACTCAGTGGTTTAGTTGAAAGGGGTGATGAATCATAAAATGGTGTCATGGTTATTATGGATTATAAACTTCACGTGATTGTGTTGAAGTTTATGAATGGAAATGAACTTAGAAGCTAGATTTATTACACAATCAAGCTATGCAAGTGTGCATTTGTGTCTTATGCAACGATGATCTATTTTTTTAAACCG